GAGCGAAAGCCTTGAACGCGAACTGAAAGCCTAGACGCGAGCTGAAACTTGGACGCGAGCTCAAGAGGCAAAGCACAGAAGTGACAAAGCGACTGGGGTCCCCCACTATTTATACCCACAATGACCGAGAAGCAACAGCACAGATCAAAGCCAATCCAACGGCCCGCAGTTGCGCTCGCACGTCCCCTGAGACCGAGACGTGATTGGCGCACGTCTTTTTGAAACTGATAGAGCGCCCGCGCACGTCTTTCTGAAACTGACAGAATGCCAGCGCACGTCTCCTCACATTAAAGGTGGCAGCGACACATTTTCAAAATTTGAAAGGACGCCTACTGTCACGTCTCCTAACGGCGTGCTTTTTTGATTTTGAAATAAAGCGCGCGCTGTCACGTCTGGCAGCATTTGTAGGCAAGTCGGCGCGTTTTCCGTCTTTTGGGCGCTCAAAGAAATTAACCCTGACAACGCACCTCGCGCTATCAGTCAACCGAGATCCGAAGTACAGGACAAATCCACCTGCCACCTTGCAAACTCCCCCCACCAAGATAAGACCCTTAGCACGAGGAGTGGGGGGCAATTGATGAAGGAAGATTTGGCCCGACCTCGTAATCACTCAACACGTGGCAAAGGCGAACAGCTCGGCACAACAGCGCGCCTAGGGCACAAGCACCAAAGGGAGGAAACCAGCAATCCGAACTCCCTACTAGGAGCCCGAATCTCCCTACGAGGAGCCCGAACTCTCCCTTAGGCCCCGAGCCACACAAGGCAATGACCCGAACTAGCCCGCCTCATGGCAGTTCGGGACACTCCCCTATCCGAATTCAAGACTTCACCTCGCTCGCCACTCCAGCACTTCACCTCCAGGACGCCGAATTGAACAAACGTACCATACCTGACACCGAGGAGGTCCGTATCCAAGGGCGACGCACCTGACTGACTTGGGATCTGACSCTTGACAGCCGCACTTCAACAGTCACCTGCCACCACCACTTGCCACCGTCATCGCCAGTCGTAGAGACGGCTTCGACAAAAGGGAGCAGTGGCGGTTCTGTCCAGCAGAGGGGATGACACCCGAACTAGCAGGAGCCCAGAAGTAATCATACCCGACCTGATAGAAGCTTAGGAGTGAGTGCACGAGGTGGTTATAAAAGGCTCCCTGCCCCCCAAGAACAAGGTACGTGAACTTTGCACCATCTGGTTTTATCTTGCCTAAGAATTCTAATTTGAGCTTCGGAGCATTCATACCGGGTTCCCCCCGGAGCTTCCTCATCTTCTCTATTTCATGCTCCCTGTAGCTCCGTTCAGAGGCAAGGTCTTTGACAGATAGGACCAGCCAGATTGCGCACCATCAATACCCACCAAAACTAAAACCTTCTTGAGGAATCCCTCTTCAAGTTCAATGAGGCATCTTCAAACATGATTACCATGAGGGCGCCCTTACCTTGAAACAATTCATGATGAAAAGAGATTGGTTTTTTCTTACAATTGCAAGTGGGGAAAAAACTATTTTTGGTAAGATCTATTAGCAAAAATAGATTTCTAGAAACAACCAAATCAGCAGAGCTGCAGAGGAAAGAAAATCATATTAGAACCAGCCTCCCTCCTCCCAAGAGTTCATTATAATATCCAAATCATCAGTTAAAACAGAGAGATACTTGAAAAGAATGATACCAATCAATAATGAAATATACGATGAAGAAATATGAATTTTCTTTTCATGAAACCCACCCATTAGTAGGCAAAGAAAATTTGAGTTGTTAATACTCAAGAGAGCAATAAATCTGGAAAAAAAAAAAGAAAAATTAAAACAAAAAAAATGAGAAACAAGGGTTTCTTCTTTCGGGTTCATTGAGTACTCATAGGTGAAGGCAACAGACAATGACCCTATCTTCAAGCAAGAACATTTAGAAACACAAAGAGAAAAAACCGCCGAATGAAGAGAATCTCTCATTGAAATACTGGTCCTCTATGCACATGCACATACTCCTTTGCCCCAACACCCAAATCCTTAGTATTTGCTTCTACGAAGGGATCAAAGGTAATAGAAATCTGGAAGTCGAGTTCAGAGTCTTCAGACATGAACCTTGGTAGTTGAAAGTGGAGGACTACAAACGGAATTTCTTTTATGTTCTAATCACAAATACTAAGAGCTTATCTGAATTAGGGTTTTGAAGTTGAAGAAGAAAGAGGTTGAGTGGAGAGGAAAAGGGGATAACATGCCGTGTTTTGATAAAAATATATATAAATAAATTTGTAAAATGGTAAAATAGGTATTTGGGAAAAGTGATTAATCAATTTAATGTTTTCGTCATGATCATTGACAGAAGGGAGGTTTTTGTTAAATTATTTAAAAATTTAAGAAAGGTTTTTGCTAAAATGAAATTATAGGAGAGGTTTTTGTATTTTACCCTAGAAATTATTACAGGATCATAAATATTGAATCTCAAATAAAATGATATTATCACAGAAAAATTTAAAAAGAAATGAGGATACACAAGTGCCGGAACTTAATACAGGATCATTCCATGTTTTGACCATTTATTAACAGAAACTGAGAGTTGAGGGTCTGATTAAAACGTGACGTGATGGTTCCTTTTTTTATTCACAATCATGGATTAGTTATCCATAACTAATTGAATATCTTATTCTTATCTTTAACAGTCCACTGTAATCTGCATTCATCATTATAAAAATACAATATCACAAGGTGGATTAAGCCACCCAACATTGATCTTTCGAATCTCATCTCAGAGATTTTTTTAATTATACATATGAACCCAGATTCCTTCGGAAGATCTACATCTTTTTACCACAGCTTAGGTATGCATTAATTAGCACGCAGAAACTCCCATTAGGTAAATATCCTCGAATTTCTTTTGTTATCTATATGCATCACTCACTATAACGTTAACTAAATGGAATATGAATGGAGCCATGTCAAATTCTCAGAATTGAGAGCTGTGGAAGAAGCATTGCTGATTTACAGCATAAAGAGGGATCATCAAACAAAGGTTGAGTGAGAGCAAAAACCAGAGACTGAAAGTGAAGAAAAAACTGGCCGAAAATCGATTCTGTAACCTGTTCTAAACTGGGAGTTTTCATCTATTGCTTCTGCGGAGTCCTAGTCGTCTTCTTTTCTGAGGAGTTGGATATGTGAAGGAGGAGATCTGACACTTGCCGGGATGATGGTCTTTCTGCTGGGGCAGTTCTCGTGCACTGCAAAGCAATATCAAGCACTTGGAATACGGCACATTCTTCATCTGGTAAGAGTGGTTTCAGTGAAGGGTCTATTAACTCCTCTCGTTCAGCTCCTGGCATTTCAATGCGTGACTCCACCCACCTCACCATGTCCATATCTGCTCCAAAAGTTCCACCAGTGGGCGTGCACCCACTCACCAGCTCCATCAACACGATACCCATGCTGTACACATCACTCTTCTCCGTCGCCTTCATCGAGTATGCATACTCTGAAACAGAGGAAATCAAATCATTATCACACAACTGTTTGATATATGTAACTAACATTAAACAGAACTATTTTTCCCACTGATATTCGTACCTGGTGCAATGTAACCGTAAGACCCTGCAAACAAAGAACTTGACTCAGTGCACTCCGAGTCATGGTTCTCAATGAGCAGCTTTGCCAGGCCGAAATCCCCAAGGTGTGCTTCCATGTCTGCATCCAGAAGTACATTGCTTGATTTGATGTCCCTGTGAATAATCACTGGTACACAGTCATGGTGAAGATATTCCACTCCATGTACCAACCCAACTGCAATCCTGAGCCGCATCTCCCAATCAAGGTTTTTCTTCTTCTTGCTATTCGCAAAAGGATTATGCAACCAATCCCATAAACTTCCATTCTCCATGTACTCGTATATCAACAGATTCGACCCTGCGGCTTTGTTACTACAGCATCCTAACAACTTGACCAGATGTCTATGCCTTATCCTCCCCAGTGTCCGAATCTCCCTTGTGAAGCTCCTATCCAAAAGGACATCATCCTTGCTCAGTATCTTCTTTACTGCAACTGTCTCTCCACTTGGTAACTCTGCCTTGTAAATCGTCCCAGACCCACCTGTTCCAATCATGTACTCATCGCTTAGGTTGCCGGTGGCTTTCATGATGTTACTCCATTTGAATTCTCGCCTCATGGCACCATGTCGGAATAGTAGTCTCCGCTGCATGGAAGAGCTCGAGGAGTGTACACAGTTCACTTCCCGGTCTCTTCTGAAGGATTGGTGCTTATGTTTGATCAAGAGTGAAACTCCAAGTACCATCACAACAATGGCGACAAAAGTTGAAACAGCTATTATTGCCACCACTGACGATGCATTAAGCCCAGAGTGGCTACGGTGTGACTGTAGCAAGTTGCTGCAGGGACTGAGAGGATCCCCACACAGGCCAAGGTTCCCTGCAAAGGCCTCAGCTGGCCAATGTGAGAATTGCTCGTCCAATTGGCCTTGAAGATTATTGTAAGACAGATCAAGCATGCCCAGGCTGCTCATCTCCCCAACTTGGGGAGGGACTTCACCAACAAGGTTATTGTGAGACAGGTTAAGGATTTCAAGTTTTGATAATGTGCCAATGGAAGGTGGGATTTCACCAGTAAGATTGTTGTGGCTGAGGTCCAAAACAATCTGTAGATTCTGGAGCTGTCCAAGCTCTATCGGAATTTGTCCATCAAAGCTGTTCCTTGAGAGCCGGAGCTCATAAAGCTTGCTCAACTTGCTGATGTCTGAGGGGATTGGTCCAGAAAACCTGTTGTGGTCGAGAGTAAGGACATTGAGGGACTCAAGATTTCCAATTTCAGGAGGTATAGTCCCATTCAAGGAATTGACGTCAAGGGAAAGAACCAGGAGATTGGTACAGTTGAACAGTTGATCAGGAAGAGGGCCAACAAGTAAATTGGAAGAAAGCTTGAGCTCACCCAACAGAGGCAAGCTTCCTAGCCACGTTGGGATTGACCCAGAAAGAAGGTTGTTGTTTAGATCAATATGGGAGAGTTTCTTGCAAAATGAGAGTTCCATGGGTATGGGCCCGGTGAGTGAATTGCCAGAGAGGTCTAGGAGTGAGAGCTCAGTGATGTTTCCTAATGTCCAAGGGATGTTTCCTGAAAATCTGTTGTTCCCCAGTCTTAATCTATCAAGGGAACGTGAATTCCCCAACTGGGGAGGAATTTCAGAGTCAAATGAGTTGTTAGTGAGATCAAAAGAAAGAAGAGAATTCGAGCTACACAAGGGAACGATTGTGCCATTCAATCTGTTGTTAGAGAGGTTCACTCTAGTCAGGTTGGCGATATTTGCTAGTTCCTCAGGAAGATTACCTTGGAGGGAATTGTTGTAAAGCATGAACAGTTTCAGTGATTCAAGGAACCCGAAAGTTGCAGGGATGCTACCAGAGAGACGATTATCTGCCAAATCCAGGGTATCAAGTTGCTTGCAGTTACCTAAGCTGGCGGGAATTTCACCGGATAGATCATTTTGTCTGAGATGAATCAGATTCAACTCCTTTAGCCTTCCGATAGTAATGGGAATGCTTCCGGAGAACTGATTTCCGTAAAGATCGAGCATCTGCAATCTCGAACAGTTGGTGATCTCTATAGGAATCTCCCCCGACAGCCGATTTTCATAGAGATAGAGAGTTCCAAGCTGCCCCAGCTTCCCAATCTCCTGTGGCAGACCTCCATGTAAGTTGTTGTGGTACAGAGCTAATGTTCGAAGATTGCTGAGGTTTCCAATTGATGGAGGAATCGTCCCAACCAGGCTGTTGTTGTGGAGATAGAGATCAGTTAGATCAAGGAGGTCGAACAATTCAATGGGTATCGGTCCTTCGAACCGATTGTCAGCTAAATCCAACTGTGTCAGTGACCGGCATTCCCGTAAACTTGCTGGGATTTTCCCAACCAACGCGTTATCAGATAAAATTATTTGGTCCAAACTGGTGGTGTTTGAGAAGAGATTGCTTGACAGAGTACCAGAGAGCTTGTTGTTTGACAACACCATGTCCAGCAGCTTGTCCAATTTACCCAGTTCTTCTGGGATTTCTCCCGTCAACCTGTTATAGGACAAGTCGAGATTCTTAAGACCACTCAACTGTGCCAGAGACTTTGGAATTTGGCCCTCAAGCTGATTCCCCATGAAATTGATATAAAGGAGTTGACTCAACTCACCTAGCTGGCTCGGAATCTCTCCTGACAAAGTATTATTGGCAAGGTTTAGAGTTTGGAGATTGCTAAGACGACCCAATTCAGGTGGAATCGGTCCAGTGAGATTGTTGAGAGCCACGGTGAATGTAACAAGGCTCGTGCAGTTGCCCAGCTCCGGTGGAAGAGGACCTTCTAGATAATTTTCTTGGATATTAAGTGTCTGAACATGGCCAAGTTGACCGAGTTCTGGAGGAATCCGGCCGTTGAGATTACAGGTGCCTAAGCCAAGGAATACCAAGTTGGAAAGGTTTCCAAAGGAACTTGGGATAGAACCGGTAAGATCGTTGTTGCCGATTCGTAGGAATTGTAGACCGGTGAGCGAGCCGAGTTGGGTGGGAATCGTCCCAGAGAGTTGGTTAGAGAAGAGAAACAGAGACATAAGTGAAGAGAGGTTAGATAGCTGAGGTGGGATGGGGCCCGTGAGACGGTTAGAGGACAGATCAAGGTGGAGCAGGTTGTGCAGGAGACCGAGTGAAGGTGATATCGACCCGGCAAGTGACGAGTCGGATAAGTTGAGACCCGTCACGTCATACGAGCCATCAACGGTGTCCGATCCGCAGGAAACTCCTCTCCAAGTGCAGAACTCGGGGTTGTCTTCAGACCAATCGTCCAAAACGTTTAATGGGTCTTCAACGAAGGATTTCTTCACCTCCAGAAGAACTCTTAGAGTCGTCGACAAGTCTGATGAGTCGACATCGTCGTCCTTGCACGAAACGAACACAGATGATAAACCCAACAACAGAACCAGAAAAATATGAGATAAAACGGAGTTTCTCGTCGCCATTTCCGCCGAAACTGAAGCCTCTATCTAACGTCTCTGTTCGAATGAGGAGGCTGAGAGAAAAGCTTGAGAGATGAAGCACGGCTTCTTAAAAACAGTTAAGCCCGCTGCTTCCATATTAGTGACTCTCACTCTCTCGATATCAGCATATGATCAGCTCATCACTGATTTCTGCTAGCGATGGTTCATGAATGTATTGAATTTCTCCGGCGGGTGACGACAGACTTTGCCTCGTGTAGCTGAAGAACTCTGCCTCGTTTGGCGTAAAACGCGTAATTTGGATTTGGGCAGTCAACCTCGTGGTCGTGGGCGAGTGCATGAAGCTTCTGTTCTTGAAACTTGATCGGTGCCTGCAGAGGCTTTAAATGGGTTATTAGAACAAGAGATAGGTGTTGGAGAGTTGGCGAGGGACTGTCAGTGTGATGCAGCAAATGCCACTAATGTCAGCTTCTCGAAACCAGAGAGAGAGAGGGGGGGGGGGGGTTGTTGTTTACAGCTCTCCTCGTGATCGTGATGGGAATGCAACAAAAACCTGGAAAAGAACAGAGAGGAAGAGAGGTTTTGAAGCTTTGAATGCGTGTGGTTGAAACTTGAAAGATCAAACAAGGCGAAATAATTGTGGGTCTACTCTTTTTAGTGACTTAGTTCAGGGGGATGATATGGTAGCAGAAAGAGAGCTGTTGAATTCCTATTTCACTCTAGTTTATTATTAAATCAGTGATTTTAAAAGCTTACAAAGTCAATAGGGTCCCCACTCACATGTGTCATCCCAACGTATAAAACAAAATCTCCAACTTATATTCTCTATTCTCCTTCACGGTTTCTTGTTTTCTTATTTATCAGAACTAACACGCTTTGATTCTTATTGGGTTGAGCAACCAAACCTTAGTGTCCTCTTGCTCCCTTTGTCACTGACTTTTTAATCCTCTACTCCTAAACATTATTCCTCTTCTTCATAGTTTACACACGAAATACATATTGTACAAGTCATTCTATGGTTTTATATTCATATATATGCTTGTGTTTTCTGAAAGAAAGTTGAAACAAAAGAAAACCAAGTCTATTTGCCTAAGTATATGGATAAGGACATGGCTTTATGATAATATGATATTGTTAAGGAATATTAGGCTCTATTCTCCATGCTTTACCAATTTACAAATCAAGCATATCTATAGCTTGGGATCTACACCGTTCATCGGAAACCCAGAAAGGAATCTAAGAAATTTGATACAATTGTATACATTCATGCAGCTGTCTTCAATAATAGAAAAAAATAAATAAATAAAAAAAAAACCATTCTTGTTCACAGTTTTGGGTGATAAAAAAAAGGAAATTGGTAGAGAAATGGGAAACCATTCTGAACAAATGACCATGTTGGATGGCTATAATTGAATAATTTTAAAATGAAGTTTGACCTACTCGGTGGATTATCTCTGACTGTGATCATAATTAATTTGGGTATGTGGCGTTGGTAGGAGAGAGGAGAGCATCTCTTCCTACCCTTATGCACAGATAAACATATAATCCTTTTATCTAATGATCAGGAAGCCTTTGGGGATGATGGGTCCTGTTCTTTTGGGTCTATTTGGTAAACCACCCCTCAATCCTTTCCCAACTACAAAAAAAAAGGTGAAGTTATTTCTTTTCTTGCAGTACATTCATCCTGAAAAGATGGGTTAATTAAACCCAATTGGACCTTTTTATTCTCCAAAACCATTGATCCGCTTGTCCATTTATAACATGATTACCATTAATTAATTAATTTTTCCAATTTATTAATTAATAACATAGCTATTAGCTAGAACTAGGTAGTCTCAGACTCTCAAGCAAGCGACTGATATAATGTATATATGTAAAGTGCGTCAGTATTTATGTGTACCGTCATGTGAACTCGATATTGTTTCTTGCTGAGAAATTCTCCTTTATTTGTCTTATTACTTAATTTGATTTAATTTTGATTTATCACCTACAACTAAAAGAGTTAAATCCCATTGCCAGCCCCATCTTGTCTTTATTCCTCTCCTTCTCCCATATTTGTCTCATCCCCATTCTTGTTTTCTGTACCAGGAAATGGGCCTACAGTCCAATATTGTTCCTCTCTGATCATGGGCTGAAAGAAAAAAAAGTGGGAATAGAGCTGGCAATAGAAAAAATTAACCAACGTTTCATTTCTCTCTCTCTCTCCTTGCTTAAGAATCCTGTAAATTCATACTTGTTTGGAAATGAACTGTTTAGAACATATACCAGAAATGAAGTATGGACATAAGCTAGAGTTGGTCCACCCATTGGAATGTATAGATAGAGATATAAAGTTGGCCATGACTCCATGTATATGTATTGATTCTCGTGAAGAGATGAGATACAACAGTGAACAGTCAACCCAACCCTATTCATCAACCTGTCTCTTCCACTTGTGAATGGAAGAAAGAAAGCTTCATCTACACGAGACCTTAGCTCAATTAATTGCAGGTTATTTAACAACTTCTTTCTCAAAAGATGCAAAATGTTTTCAAACATTAATTCTTACAGCTCAGTTTGGAAGGAGTATAAATACAAATATCTACAATACAAATATATACAAAATAATATAAAATGTAAGGTTTTATACTCTACAAATTTGTATTTGTACTCCTTCCAAACTGAGCCTATGGTTAACTTTATAATAGTCCACCACATCGGCTTCCAATGGGAGCCAATCATCCTCTTAGGAAAACCCTGTTTGTCTTTTGGGTTGTGTCGACAAATCAGAAAATGGATCAGTTTCTTTGTTTCTAGTAGGGTCTACCCAATTCAAATATAATACATTAATTAATATCTGAATTCAAATAGAATCTTATCTCAATTGGATTTAGATGGGAACCAAATGAGATTCAGATAGTTTATATCATTAAATTAATCAAAATGTTATATTTTATTAATTATAAATGACTTTGATATTATATATAACATGAGAAAAATAACTGATGTGGTGCAATCTGGTAGCTCCCTCATGTCTGATGACTTAGACTTCAATTTGGATGTTTCTTGGTCAGGGTCGAGCTGTGCTAGGCCGAGTTGAAGAGTGGTCGAGTTGATATGTACTGCAAGAAGAAGAGAATTAGAGTGCCTGGGTGTTTTTACCCAGGGAGGGCACTCTGATGCTTAAGTCAGAGAGTGTTTGAGAATTTTTTGAGAGATTGAAAGAGCTTGAGAGTGTGATTATGTGTACCTTTCCAGGTAGAGGTGAGTGCCTTTTATAGGCACCCGTGGTTAGAGCCCTCTTGTTTCCGCTTTGTTAGGCGCGTTAATGTGTTGGTTGCGAGATCTCCGCGGAGGTTACAATTTACCCGAATAATTTTGAGGTGTGTGATACGGTAGGCCGTTCTAACAGTCGAGATATCGGTACTCTTGGTAGTGTACTGTTGGGAATGATTAGTGGGTCCTTCCTCGTAGGTCGTCTTGAATTCCTACAGCTTGACTGGCTCCTAGGACAGGTCGTCGTAATCTTACGAGGTTTACTAGTTTGGCCTTGCCAAGGTGGAGGTCGACTTAGGCGAGGTGCTCCAAGCTAACTTGCCGAGCTGGTTTGCTTACTCAATGCCGAGGTATCATCCGAAGGCTACGTGTCAATAATTGGGAGGACGAAATTACCCCTCATCAATAACAAATAAAAGCTAGAGAGGTTTCATGAATTAACGATTCTTTAAAAATCATTCAACATTCAAACCAACTTTAAATACCAATATTTACATATTAAATTTCATTTAGATGTAACCATATATGTTTTAATCCTACAAGATAAGACACAAGGTTTTTAAAATCGACCTGGAGAATGAATCGGTCAGGAGTCCGGTTCTTGGGTTGAACGGTCCAACCGTTCGAACCAAACAGTCGGCCTGTTCTGACAAAAAAAATTATAATAAAAAATGGTTAAAACGGTTCAAACAATTCAACTGTTCGAGTCAATGGTTTGCTGACCAAATCAACGTTTTTTAGCCAAAATCTGGTTTTGGCAAAAAATGGAACCGGTAACCTGACCAGTTCTTGGTTTTTTTGGTTCGACCATCTAGTCTAATCCAGTTTTGAAAACCATGATAAGATGCATCAAATCATGTTGGAGTGGATCCATATTTTTGTTTAGGCTCTCATTAATTGTGGTGAAAATTTTATTTGCACCGGTGTAATTAAATGCATGAGAATGCAAATGGACGAAGTGTAAATTCTGTTTTACTTTTGCTTTAAATTTGACCTTGTCTTCTTTGTTTCCTTGTTTGTGACAAGTAAAATGATACTAGTTCCCACTTTATATTATATGAAAAAGAAAGGAGAGGAACTGATCAAAAAAAATAAAGAAAGGAAAGGAGGAAGATTATTCATTTTGTTTCTTACTTAAGGCAAGCAGGAAGGTGGTGCAAAATTTTGCATCAGTTTTTCAATTGCAAAATTTGCACAATCAATAAATAAAGATAAGATTTAAACAAATACAAAATTTGTATTAAATAAGGGGTTATTTGGCCCTCCAGTAATGTCGCACCCATGTGTCAAGTTTGAATCATTTTATGACACCTTGGCATCACATGTAGCTAGACCTTGCCCGACTAAGCCAGCCTCTATGATTAGAGCTCTACCAATGGGAGACTTATAGACCATCTGACGATAGTCCGGAGCATGGCATAAGCCGATAAATCAGGTGACTGACTTGTCTCCCCGACCTAGGCAACTAATGACTTGTATAACTAGCTGCCCCTCCGGGTACCGACCTACGTGACATGTTCAACCTCATCCACCCACCTTACCTATCAGTTCTGAAGCACACAATGGCATGTCACCTACCTGGCAGTGATGAGCCCTGTTGCCTATATAAAGGGACCTTCATGCCTTCACATGGTATGCACGAACTTGGACATTACTAGCTCTCTCTCTTTCTTTTTCTCTTGCTCTCTCTCTCTCTCTCTCTCTCTCTTCCTCTCAAATTCTCTGTTCTCATACTCACCAGCTTGGTTAACTTAAGCATCAAAGTGCCCAATCCGGATCCAAACCCCTAAGTACTCTGAGATCGGTTTGCTGACCTCATCATCCTTGCATTTGAACTTTCTTCCCGTAGAGAGCCGGAGTGGGATCGAACACCATCAATCATAATCATAAACAAACAGGTGCAAAGTGAACCAGATGCAAAATTTGTATTCAGTTTAGACTTTATTGCAAATTAACAGAGCCTTAACTACAAATAGATGGGGTTTGAATTGAATGACCTTACATTGGATTTGAATTCAAATTCACATCATTAAACAGATACCATTTGGATCTATGAGAAGGGGCATGTAGATTTTTCATTCTTTTGACTAAAGAATAATATCATTATATTAAACAACAATATAAACAGACAGGGCCCCTGGACCAATACATCACTCACTAGCTGGAAAATAATGAAAGTAAAAAACGATGGCACAAAACCAATGCATTCACCATTAGTACAATCCTGAGCTAGCCACAATCAGGGGTTGTGCGGTTGTCTCTGCTAATATGAGATCATGGACTGAATTTCCTTTCGTATATCTTCGACCCCATTAACAAAGCTTAGATGATGATAATGAGGTGGCAATTGGACAGGTTTGGGTGGATTGGGGTTGAGTTGAGTTGTAATATAATCCATTTAATCTGCTAACT